GAGTGGAAGCAGGGAGACCACGTAGGAGGCTGGAACAATCCAGGAGGTGGTGGCTGGGGCCAGAGAATGGCAGTGTGGGTGGGAAGAGGCAGTCAGATTCTGCATAGATTTTGAAGCTGCAGTCTCAGCATATGGTGACAGTTTTGAGAAAGAGAGGAGAGTCAAGGATGTCATCCAAGTTTTGTCCCTGAAACTGAAAAAATAGAGTTATTGTTTACTTAAAAGGGGAGCACTGTGGAAAGAGCAGGTTTGCAGCAGAGGTAATTAGGAATTCAGCTTTGGACATTTGAGTTGATTAGCCATCGAAGTGGAGATGTCAAATAAATAGTTGGATATGTTAGTTTGAGTCTAGGGGAGAGGTCCAGGTTAGAAATTTGGGAGTTATTAGCACAAAGATGGTATCAGGAGCCATAGACTAGAAAAGACTACCAAGGTAGTAAGGGTAGATAGAAAACAAACAGGTCCGAGAACCAAACATGAGGGCATGCCAGTGTTGAGAGGGCAGAGCCCATGTGGCAGAACCAGTAAGGGGGAAAAAGCGTCACATACCAATATGCATAACACCTTTATGCTAACTCTAGGAAAGGTGTAAGTGAAAAGTTCCTAAGAAAAAGGAAATTACACGTTATCAGCTTAGTGACCCTGAGATACACATAATGATACAGGACTGTAACAGTGTCTGATCCTGGACAAGAAAAGAAACACTGACCAGAAAAGACCGCATCCCTATCACTTAACAGTGACTTCACAACAACTCCGTTAATTCCAACTAAAGCCACTTCTAACAATATTCAACTATATTGTAATTTAAATAATCACTTAATATTCCATTATATGAATATAAAATTATTTATTTATTTAAACAATTTCCTATTTCTGGAATTTATGTTTTTATATATCTTGGCTATTTTAAATAAGACTTTAATAAACATCCTTGTAAACACATCCTTGTAAACATTTGAAGACAACTGTTTTCTTAGAATACTAGACTATAAGTATAATTACTAGACTAAAGGTGACGCACATTTTTAATATATATTTCCAGATTAGCCTCCGTAAAGGTTGTACCAATTTACATTCTCACTAATAGAGTATAAGTGTCTTATGAGAGACATAACAAAGCTAGCCTGTGAAGTAAACAACCCCTTTTAGCAGAATCTGTAGGAACAGCCTTCATCTGATATTTTTTCTAGCTTCTAACATCCAGACACCCCATTGGTTCTTACTCTGGCTTTAGACCTTGGACTTAGGTTTTCAGAGACTCCTTCCCCCTCCACTCCTGATTAAATTGCTTCAGGGCTCTTTCCAGTCCCTAAACCTGCTTACCTTTGGTTACCCAATCCCCATTCCAGACTCAGTGCAATCAAATCCCTATTATCTGTCCAGCACACCTCAGAGTTTTCCCTCATTCAAGCTCAGGAGCACCAAGAAAGAAAACTCACCTAAGACCCCTCCCACTGGGAACAGGGAGAGGTAGTTGGAGACCAACTGTCCTGGTTTCTCACCTTCCTTTATTCTGGCCCAAGAAGAAGAGACTGATTTTCCCACTCCTGTGACCCTGCCCAACCTCAATGATGTGGGTCAAGAATAAGAAGAGAGTGGAGCCTCAATAATTAATCTCACCTGAGACTCACAATGACCCTGTGAAGTACGTATATATCCAATCACATCATGTGCACTTAAGAAAAGCTTCCACTTTTAAATGAATTGTCTTACTCCTTCTAAAAGAACAGTGCTTATTGAGATAAATGAAAAGAGGTGGTTGTTTTAAATCAGTATAACTAATGTTAAAAAACAGCTGTTAAGGAATACTAGGTAATCACATCCACACAAGATACCAACTGGGAACATTACAGTGTTATACCTACCATAATTTAGTTCTCCCTCCCCACGAAGTCACTCAGAGTGGCAGCTGTGATCTTGGGCTTTGCACATTAGAGACCATTAGGAAAAGCAGCATGATTCATCATCTTCTGCTTGTGTTATTTTAACTTAGTCATTTGGGGGCTGATCTTCTGAGGCACTAACAATAGTCTGAGACTAGATTGATTTTCTTCCTTAAATAACTTGTGGATTTTCTTTAACTGTTGAAATTTCTGCCATTTCAGATAAAGATACATAAAATCTTAGAAGTGGAAGAGAACGTGGAGGTCACTTAGAACAATCTCTCACCCTCATCAAACTATTCTCTATTATAATATTCCCAGCAACTATACAGATGGTCCTTGATTTCTCCCAGTGATGGGAAGCTCACTACTCATAAGAGAGGACATTTTGATTTTTCAGATAGCTCTCATTAGACTATTTTCTTTAATGTGTTCCTATATGAATCATTGTGTTTTTTAATATTTCCTTATAGATTAATCCAGGAAGAAATTATGCTCTTATCCACATAATACATCTTCACCAAAGGCAGATTTTGTTTTGCTTCATCTTCTCATTTCTGGGATAAGCATTTGCAGTTTCTCTAAATTTTACTTTATCATCCTCAGTATCTCAGACACTCTCCTTTTATTGAATGTCTCTCTTGGAAAATAGTGTACAATGGTGTAAGAATTTAACACAAGGTTCTAGATGCAATCTAGCCAGGGCACAGTATGAAAGGACTATGTGGGCACAATGTTTCTACAGATGCAAATTTAGGTTTCTTGGAAACCATGTTACACTATTGGCCCATCTAAGTTTACAGTCACAAAGCTCCTGGGATCCTTTGCAAATAGTCTGCTTTGCTTTCAGGATGTCCCTGGTTCTATAACTCAAGGATTTGCTTTTTAACCTAAATCCAGTATTTTATATATTTATAGCTATCTAGTGTTTATCTTTCAGGCTTTGTACAAGTTTTATTTTTGTAGGCCCAACATTTCAGGTATTAAGACCATTTAACTATACCCACTGTCCCTCCCAAATTCTCATTCTCTGAAAATGTGAGGAGTGTCTTCAATGGCTTCATCTTGATGATAGTTCTGGGTATACAAGGATAGAGCAGAGGGGGAGAGACATCAATCCTTTTATCGATGATTTTTGGAGTTTTATAAATCAGCTATTGAACTAGAGCCTAGTGGTAAAAGCAGTCCCCAACTGCCAGAGAATTGTATGTCTTGATGGAATTCTCAAGACCCCTCACCCGCAATTTTCCATAAAATTTTTTTTATAAGATGGTGCTTTGGCCTACACAAAGGTACTTCATAAGAAGCAGCCCTTGAAACTCACCACTGCATTTCATGTAAGGATGTACTGAGCAGGTGGTTTACTATATGACATATGTCCTCTTTAGGAAGAACCCATAGAAGTTTCTTCCTGCTCTCAGTGTTTTTCTTTCTTATAGACACTTTTATTTATGATGTTTTCTCTTTGCTTGGACTGTTAGGAAGCCCACAGCAAAATCTGTAAGCCACCTCTAGAAAAAGTACAGAGCACGGAATAACAGAATCACATGGCATACGTTTTATGGACCAACCACACACTCACGGTTTCATCTTGTTCTCCCTAACCTTGTTTTTCCTTTATCCTAACTTCCTCACCTCACCTCTCCTCTCCTCTCCTCTCATCTCCTCTCCTCTCTCCTTCCTTCCCCTTCCCTCCCCTTCCCTCTCCTCCCCTCCTCTCTCTCGCTCTCCTTCATTTGATTAAATTTTACATACTCTTAAAGCCACCAAAAACTCTTGTTAGAACAAAAATAAAGATGGAACATAGATGGGTAGATAATCCAGATCACATTTCTCTAAGTATTTTATCCACAAGGATATCATGAGAATTTTTTTAGATACTTTGCTGAATCAAAATACACTATGTCTACAGCAGTAATGTGATCCACAGGACTTAACGGTCATTTAAAAGAAAGAGGAAATGTCCTAGTCCTACTGAATTCTAGTGAAACACTAGTTCCTAGCAATCACTGCTTTCTTTTCTAAATGCTTACAAATTGTAAGCGTAGTTGCATTTTTAGAATTTTTCCAGGGATTGATATCAAGCTGGCTACTCTGTCATTTGGTGAGACTGGGGTGGGGAGATACATATTTTGTTCTTCCTTTAGAAATTTGGAATATTTGCTCATTCCAAGTTTTCTGGAATCCCTCCTATCCTCCATGTCTTATCAGAAATCACTGATAATAGCTGTGAATTCTTAACTGCCAGTTCTTTCAGTGTTCTGGGGCAAGTAGTAAATGCAGTGAACTATATACTTAAGTCCAAGAAAAATTAGGCATCATTCTTTTGAGAATAAAGTTTGAAGTATGTTACAAGCTGTTAGATCAGTTAAAATATAATAATTAACATTTTGTGCAAATAATTTTACCTCAATTATAAGCTTCAAAAGAGAGGAATAAGGGATATTAGGGAATTAACATTTATAGAGTACTCACTATGTATAGGTACCATGCTAGGTGGTTTACATGTTTTCTTACTTTACATTCATAATAATTGTATGATTTTAGTTATTGTCCATTTTAGAGATAAGAAAACTAGGTTTTTGAGAGGTTAAGTAGCTTCCCTAGATCACAAAGATAAATTGCAATGGTGGGTCTTGAACCCAAAGCCCATATCTTTCCCCCATATCAGACATGTGAAATTGGGTGGAATAACATAAAAATGGTTAGCCAGACATAACCTTTATCTGATTGAAAAATGACAGCCAGGAGCTCTGTGCCTTCCTTAGTAATCTTGTTCCTTCAGCACAAAAGTCAAGCCTGGAGCTAAGAACACCTATATGAAAGAAGAATTTTGTGTCCCTAAGATTAGTATATGTCAAAGAAAATATTCTCTTACCAGGATACTAAGAGCTGGCAAGGTGATTCATACCAAAGCCTGAGGGGAAAACCCTCTTACTAAGAGTTAAGCCCTCTTGCCTAAATATGAGAAAATAAGACAAAAAGTGTCCTTAGAGCAGAGTGAAGAAAAGAAAAAAACGATTAAAAGTTAGATCAGGCAATGACATTACAATTAAAGCTTAGTTAAGGAAAATTAGTATCTATACTTAGCTGCTTATGTCTCTTTACCTTTACTTTAAATTGCAGCTGAAGCCATAACAGTAGGGTGTATAGGAGAGTGATCCAGGAGGCTGGGGTAGGTTCCAGATATTTCTTCTTTCATAATTCTCTCAAGCTAATTCTAGTGTCCAAACCCGGGTGAGAAGTTTGGGCCATTGATTTTGCACAGAATGCTGTCCCAGCATCTAGGAAAAAAAACAAAGCAAAGATGTCTTCTAAAATTGAGATTAGTGGGCCTTCCCTGGTGGTCCAGTGGTTAGGACTTCACATTCCAATGCAGGGGGTGCAGGTTCAATCATCAGGGAGCTAAGATCCCACATGCTGCACAGCCAAAAAACCAAAACATAAAACAGAAGCAATATTGTAACAAATTCAATAAAGACTTTTAAAATGGTCCACATCAAAAAAATCTTTTAAAAAAAATTAAAAAATAAAATTGAGATTAGTAAATAATTAATATGTAATAGATAATATAACGTTCTGTAGAAGTAACCCATCCTAAGAAAACGTTTATAAATATGTTGCTAAGAAGAAGAGTGATTTCCCAAGTCTCCATCAGATACCAAAGTATTTCACCAACTCATTCATGATGACTAGACTACATTTCTAGGAAGACATGACTAGAATGCAATAGAGGTGAAGACAGTAGTGATATCTGATCATATTATTACTTGCTTTGCACAGGTTACTTCAGAGAAGTGATAAAAGAATGAACTAGATAACAAACATCAATTTATCAATTTTTATCCAGCAGTATACAAGGAAGAGGGTGTTTGCATTATAGATGAGCCACATTGATTCCTTACACAGAACCAGGTAAGGAATGTTATTTTTATGAATGGAGAAGCCATCCCAAGCAACAGAATACCTACCACAAAAGGGGCAATCCAGTCAGATAATTCTGCCTAACAGAAATAGCCCTTTAAAGCATACAACTTTCCGTTCCATTTTTGTCTTGCCCTTCTTATTCCAGCTATTCATAATAATGGCTGCACCCAATCAGACCCAAGCCTAGTGAGACTTCAGGAGCCTCATCCCGTTGGCTATAGTGCCTATGGAACCCTACTGTATGTCATTCAGTCCCTAGCCCTAGAACTTGGTACCTTTCATCACCATTTTTTTTTTTTTTGGCAGCAGCTACCACTACAAAAGCAACAGCCTTCATATTCTGAGTATCTACAATGTACCAGGCAGGCAGTGGGCTCAGCCAGTTTCATAATCTCAATTACAGCTCATCACAATCATACAAGTTCTATTAATACCCTCAAGTTAAAGATGAGGAAACGAGGTCAGAGAGCTAGTATGTAGCAGAACTAGAATTGAAACCCAGATATGTCCAGTTCTAAAGCCCATACTCCTTCCAATGTGTCACATTGTCCCTCTAACTACAGAGTATCCTCTTCCTCTCCAATACACACTCCTTTCTCTGATCTTTTCTCAGTGTTAAGCACCCTGAATTTTCCATAATATATCTCTGTAATGACTTAGGATGCTTTTGCTGTTACGCTACCGTTCCAAGTAGTAGTAAACCTAACTCAAACTGGCTTAAACCTTCAAGGAAGTTTGTTTTGTTCATGCAACTAGAAAGTTCAGAGGTAGGGAAGGAGCAAGTATGCTCTGCTCAGGACTCCAGCCCCATTTCTCTGACATTCGGTTGGCTATGTTTTACTCTGTGAGTTGGCTTTGCAAAGTGGTTACAAGCAATTGTGTCATTACTCACATCCAGGGAAAAGAAAGTGCCACTTCAGAGAATACCAAACAAAATTATGAAGGTTCACCCTGATGACTCCCTTTAAACCAGTCTCAATGACCAAGGGCAATAATATGCTATGGCTATCTTAGGTCTCTGTTCTTCATCTCCAGAAAAATGCCTGAGCAAAACATCCTAGCAAGAGAGATAAGAATGCCCAGCTTGGTTAGACCAATGGCTCTCAGCCCTGGCTGCATATCCACATCATCTAGTGAGCTGTGTATGCACTACCAATTCTCAGGCCCCACCCTCGATCAATTTGTAATTTTATTAAATTCCCCCAGTAATTGGAATGTGCATCAGAGTTAGAAGCACCTGGTTTACATTAATCAAGCCACACTCCTGGAGTTAAGAGTAGAGTCAATCCCACCCACACCAGTAATTCCCCTAGGGTGAAGAGGAATGGGTGAGATGAATGGGGAAGAGGCAGTCTCCATGCCCTTTACAGCACTTACCATGCTGTTGTAGCTGCTTATTTTAATTGCTTCTTCCCCTATAGACCATAAATCCATGGGGACATAAACTGGGCCAGTATTACTCGTCACTGGATCCCCAGGACCTAGCAAATACCTGGCATCTAGTAGTAAATGCCCACTAAAACTTTTTAATGAATGAATGAAACTCAGACTCTATTGAGCTGGCCTTGCAAAGGAGCCCTATTCTCCTTTAAATGAATCAGGCATCTCCTGAAGATTAATCTCTCAGTGTTCATTATCTCTCCCCAGCTCAAAACTCTCGGGGTTCTCCTCTGCCTTCATCATAACCTCCAGCAACTTTGCCATGTGTTAAAGGTCCCCTACAGTTTATCCTGCCTCTTCCTCTCCAGTATCATCTCTGAGAATCACCTGTACTTAGAATACCTCATGATTAACGAATTCCTCTCAAATGCATCCTATCTACAAGAGGTGCTCTCTTTAATTTTTTTCTCTTTGCCAACATAGAGAATGGCTATAAAATAACCCTATTTTCATAAAAAATTGAACTGATGTTCCGTCCAAAGCAGTATCTTGAATTGTATGAAGGATAATAATAACAACACTAAAAATAATCCTAACAACTAATACTTTTGCAGCTCCTATATAAGCAAGGTACCGCTCTTAGCACTTTGTATGTTACATATTAACTCATTTAATCATCCCAATAAGAGATGGGTGTGAGTATGATTACTACTTTCCCAGATGGGAAAACTGAGGCACAAAAACTATGTGACTTACCCAAAGCCACACAATTAGTGAATGGCAAACCAAGGATTTAAGCCTTAGACATCTGACTCCAGAATCCAGGCATTTAACTGCTACAACTTTCACAGTTATTAAGAGAGCAAGCAAGGTGTCACAAGAGGCTAAACTAAGATGACATCAGTGGAACTGAAGAGACAGGGTCATCTGTGTATTCACAGAGAGATACTATAAATGAAAGAAGAGCAGTGGAAACTCAGCAATACCTTGGCTTACAATAGTGAAAATGAACCCAACCACCATATTATAGGACAAGAGAGAAATCTTGGCAGAGTATAGGTACCTTAAAAGATGAGCTTTTAAACAGAGATTTTATATGATCTGAAGATTAATAGTAACCAGGGGGCTACCTAGAAAGAGTCTGAATGTGAGGGTAGCTGAGGTCAGAAACATGTGAGAACCTGAGGATGAGGGGCCAGATCCATTGTCTAATACCTGAGTCAGACTGAGACTCAAAAATTTTAAATTCAACAACAGAATCAAGGTCTCATCCTCTTGAGAAAGGCCCCTGGATTTCAGAAGTCTAGAAATGTGTATAGAGAAATAAGGCAAAACACAGCAGGTCATGCCAGCTGGAACCTTCTCTGTTTTATTCATGCCTCGTTGGCAGACGGCTGGTTCCCAGGAGGTGGCTGAATCTCACAAGGTTCAGATATTAGAGGAAACAAATAACTAATTGTGCTGAACCTCAGTTTGGATTCATTCTGGGGTGTGGACAAGCGTTTGTGTCTCCAGAGCTTGCAGTGAAGTGGAAAGCATGCATTAGACAGCTTGGTGATCTGAATTGAACAGAATAATTGAACTGCTGCCAAATCTGTGGATGACTAGATGTCCTGTGTGAGCCTGGAAAGTCCTGAGAAATCGTGGTAATTGTTAAGCATGGCCTACACTTGAAAGGTAAGGCATGTCCCTCCTTTCCCCTGGTAACACATTATGCATCTCTCTAAACTGAAATTTAAGTTTGGTCAAATTCTTGTAGAATCTATGTGTATTTTCATCTTCTACATTCTTCTACCTGGATGAATAACAGGTTTGCTCCCTGCTGTGTAAAAGAACGCTTCCCTTTTATTTGCTTTAAAACTACCTATTTGATGCATCGATCCCTGCCCTCCTGTTCTAGTTCAGTTCAGAAAGGCCAGAATTAGAACAGTTTCTGAATGCTCCCCATCTGCAAGAGCTTATGCTCAGAGTTAGGCAGGTAAAAGGAAAAGGATTAAAACGTTGGTTCTTGCCTTCAAGCAACTCCCAAATCATCGGGAATGCAGACACAACTTTTTATAATAGAAACCTGTGACCATGGCACAATTAAAATGACATAAGGTCTCAGTGGTGATGCAATTCATTATGCTGCAGGAATGTGGGGAGGCTTCCTACTGGAGGCAACTCTCAACTTAACTCTGAAGGTGGAGTAAGATTTCAACCAGAATTGAAAATGGTTTGAGTCCTACGAGATTCCTTTAGAAATGAGGTGTGATATGAATACAAAATAAAATAAACATTCAAATTGTTGTGTTTGCAGGTGTCTACATGAAGATGTCTAGGAGGCAGCTAGCAATTCAGGATTGTAAGTATAGACATGAAAGCCACATACCTATGGAGATAAGCAAAGCCATGGAGGTCCATTTGACAGGGCAGAAGTGGAGAGCTGGAAGAGAAAACTGAGCGTGGAACCTTGGGGAATACCTGAGTCTGAGGCAGAGACAAAAGTGGAGCCAGCAACATGGGCTGAGAAGCAGTGGTCTCAAGGGAACAGAAAATTATCAGCATGTCAACAGACAAGGGCCTCTGAAAAATATATCACATAGGACCAAGACTGAGAAGAGGCTGTAGGATTTGATATTTAGAAGCCATTCTCAACCCTCATTAGAGTAGCTCCAGTAGAGCAGGGAGTGCGGAAGTCTGATTGAAATGCACTAAGAAATGAAAGGGAGGTAAGGGAATATTCAGAGCTCTTCTTTTTCAGTAAGTGGGGTAAAGGGGAGATGGCAACTTGAATATAAGACTGGATCAAGAAAAGGATTTTGCTAGTAGCATTGGTTAGGTACTATATGACTTAGTTGAACCAAGAAATTAGGGTTTATAGTCCAAGAGAGAGTGTAATACAAATGCATAAGTTATTTATGGACCTTATGTATGAGTTATGGGTTTATGGTTTTAATAAGTGTTGTACGTTGTTATTGTTTCCTTTGCCTGGCTC